GAATTTTGCTTTTTTCCGGTGAATTTAACATTGTATGTGTCTTTCAACACAATTTTTGTACTTTTTCATTGCATTTTTTCTGATGTTTTTGAACGCAGAGGGTGTCTTCACAACGGTTTTTATCACCAGATTCACGGTGTTTTTTAATGATAACGTGAATCTTGCTTTTAAATGGTCGGAAATTATCCTGCTAAAAGGTTGAATTTTACAACAATCTGATATCTTGCCACAGAGAATACTGTTGTGCTGTTTATAATGCATCTATTTGTTTATCTTATTCCAGCTTTCTTGATAGTTTGATTTATAGCTGTTTTAGTGTAGAACTGCGTTTTAGAAAGTGCTTTTTATCAATGAAATTTCCCAGTGAAACCGATAATAAATTTGCCGTAATGTACATAAAATTAGGATACCTGAGAACAAATCTTTTAATCTCACGGAAACTGGCCATTGGAGAGAGGAAGAGAATTTGTGCCAGCTGCCATGTAACCACCGACCAGCATGTCAGAACCGGTGGTCGTAAATTAAGTAAATGGAGAATTCGTTCCTCCTCATTTTTTTTTAAAATCTGGTACCTAAAAATAGCACGAGAGTCACGTCATCACCCCGTTTCATAAATTTGAGTTTCATTGAAAAACTCACACGGCAGCTTTTCGCACATTTCCTATAGTCTTTTATGAAACTGCAAAACTATTCAAAACAGAAGTCGGATAAAGTTGAAATTTCGCGAGGTTGTTTCATGATCTCTGTGTAGCCCTATAACACGAAAACAACTTTCACGTGAGCTTGCGTCCCATATGTGGTTACATGAAATTTGAAACTGCAAAACCATTAGCAATTTCCCAGCTCCAGAGTGAGACAAGCCTATTCTCAGATTTGTAAATGTGGTTAGTTTGCAATCGCATCCCGTGATGTAATTTCGTTCGATCGGGTTGTGTTATTTACACTTTGCTGTACTGTTGTACATAATTGCTGTAATAAACCTTGCTTGTTGCGCATACAACAAATACATAAAACTGTCGCACTTTAAATCCAATTCCCACACAACCAGAAT